CCTTTGATTTTCCTTGGATATTTATTTTCACATTTTCTTTATACATTTCTTTTTTAGAATATATATCTAGATTTTTTTTTATGGTTATAAATCTTGAAACAATTTTTTTCGGCACAATTAAATGGAAATAATAAATTATTTCAACAGAAAAACGTCCAAAAAAATGCTTAAATAAGTGGTTGGTTATATATTGCGAAAAGAAATATGTACGCTAAAATTATATGAAATTAAACATCATAAATCATGTTGGTATTTAAAGACAGCAACAACGGTCAAAACAGCAGAAATATTAAAGGAATTTCATTTCAACGAACATAAGCCGCCGCGACACAGTGGAAGACTTTTCGCAAAATCCATCAGAAATGATGTGCTGGGGATTTGAATTAATCTTGGCTATATATATAAAAGAGTAGTGATATAACTGACTGACTAACTGAGAAACAACGCCCACACGAAACGGTTGAAAGAGGATCCTGCAATTTTGCACGTCTTGGTGGATAAGCGTGTTAAAAAGCTTGGCATTTGGACAGGGTACGAAAAGTGCTAACATGTGCTAACCATTGAATACTTTGAATTGAAGGAATAAGCTAGAATTATGATATTTGAAATGAGACTCCCAGATGGGCTGCAGAATAGATGTAGCAAATGGTTTTTTATACCCTCCACCATACTATGGAGGGTATATTAATTTTGTCATTCCGTTTGTAACTCCTCGAAATACTCATGTCAGACCCAACAAAGTATATATATTCTTGATCAGCGTAAAATTCTAAGACGATTTAGCCATGTCCGTCTGTCTGTCTGTGTGATTGTCTGTCTGTCTGTCTGCCCTCTGTCTGTATGTTGTAATCACGCTATCTTTCGAACAAATTGATATAGAAGGCTAAAATTTTGCACACATGTATATTTTGCCAGTAGGCAGGTTAAGTTCGTAAATGGGCCATGTAGGTCCAAGGTATCATATAGCCCCCATATAACGGTACCTCCCGATATTCGGTATTTTGATGATTTTAGCGACATTATTTAGCGGAATCGTTCCAAATTTGGTATTTGAAGTTCGTAATGGATACTACAGCCTAAGACAGAAAATTATCTGTGCAGGTCCACGTCTTCGTGTAGCCCCCATATAACGGTACCCCCCGATATTCGGTATTTTGATGATTTTAGCGACATTATTTAGCAGAATCGTTCCAAATTTGGTATTTGAAGTTCGTAATAGATACTGCAGCATAAAACAGAAAATGGGCTATATAGGTCCACATCTTCATATAGCCCCCATACACCGTACCCCCCGATATTCGGTATTTTGATGATTTTAGCGACATTATTTACCGGGATTGTTTCAAATTTCGCATGTGAAGTTCGTAATGGATACTTCAGTCCATGCCAGAAAATTGTCTGTTCAGGTCCACGTCTTCGTATAGCCTCCATATAACGGTACCCCCCATATTCGGTATTTTGATGATTTGAGCTACATTATAAACGGATTTTTCTTCAAGTTTCGCATTTAAATATTGTAATAACTTATGACAAATTTGCCTATACAGGTCCAAGTCGTCGTATAAGCATTCGGTATTTTTAAGATTTTAACAGAATTTTTAACGGATTTTATTTTTTGGAAATTGCCAAATTTGTACCAAATGGTGGAGGGTATTAAAAGTTCGGCCCGGCCGAACTTGATTCAAAATTTAAGGTTACGAAAAGTCCTAAAATAAATTGTACTAGACTTCTGAAATGGGGTGCCATTTGGTATTATGTAAAGGGATAGAACTAAAAACTTGGTATGAAAATCAAGGTTGGAAAGTAAGTTTGATATATGAAGGTTGGTTTTGAAACTGTGTACTAAGTGTGAGAACTGTTGTACTATATGATACTAAATTAGGGTGAACGGATGAAGCTGGAATTCTAAAATTCTAAATTGGGGGTCTCTTTTGGTGGAAGGTTCGTGATAAAAATGTGGTTTGAGACATATGTACTGCAAGTGCACGAAAATTACCAAACAGTACTATATTTGGTACAATTTGGTTAGGGGTGAAAGTATAGTGCTTGAATTCTGAAATTTGATATTAGGGTCGCTGTGTTCATGTGTAGCCTGGACATATGGAGATGGTCTCGGAAATAATAATTGTAGGAAAAGTGGAAAAAGGTACTAAATTTGGTTTGAGATAAAAAACTGCAACAAATTCAAACGCCATAATTTTTACATTTTTTTTTTTAATTTTATTGAATGAAAGCCAAAAATTTTGAAAATAGCATCAAATTTTAGAATAAGTTTCGATTTGTTCGAAATGGACACCTTTGACACAAATTATGGCCTTCAAAATCTGCGGTATTTTGGTCCATTCCCGGCGAAGCGCTTAGATGATCGACACGTTGGTATTTTTTAGAGTCAATCTTGCTTTCCAAAATACTCCAGACACAATAGTCCAACGGATTGGTATCCGGAGATTTTGGTGGCCATTGTGCGCTGGAAATGAAGCGAGGAACCTCATTTTGTAACCATTCTTGGGTGGCGCGTGCTGAGTGCGATGTTGTTGAGGCTAAAAAGTTTGCGTGCCGAAGGCTTTAATACACCCTCCAGAATAGTTTCGCGATAATATTCGGCATTTATTTTGATGCCACGGTCGATTAATACGAGCGGAGAGCGACCATCGGCTGCTATGGCTGCCCACGCCATCACCATGGCCGGCGATTGAGTTCTGGTGGCCAACCGAAGATGCACATTTTGTTTGTTTACAAACTGCTGGACAACGAATGTTTTCTCATGTGAGAAAACCAAATTCGGCAGTTCACCACTTTCGGCCAAGCGAAGCAACTCTTTAGCTCTTTTGAGTCAATTTTCTTTCTATTGCGGTGTAAGTTCTTGAACGTTTTGGAATTTTGGTGTCTTTACCCCGAGCTCATTTTTCAATTTTTGCCGAATGGAATATTGTGATATGTTCAGCTCACTAGCCATTTTTCGGCCACTGCGACGCGGGTTTCGATCACTTTACTTGTCGAACCATTTCTGCTGATGTTGCTGTTTTCTTCCGTCCACTTCCTTGACGTCGGGCTACGCTACCAGTACGAGACACAAAAGATTTATTCACATTTAAATGCTGGAGTGGAACTGGATGATTCGAATAAGGAAAACCTTGAAAGTCTGAGAATGTAGTACGATGTATGAAGTTTTGATTCAAAAATTTGTCATTTTTTTTTTGTCAAACTGAACAAATTGTGCATTTTGAGTACTTTAAATGACTGAAACAAATGTTGGAATAAATCTAAAATTTTAATTTGAACTTTTCATTGACGAAGTAGATGAGCACTTTCTAGAATTCAACATACTGGTGGTGTTTTAAAATAAATCAACCCATCTCTAACCTTTATTGTTTTTATTATCCATGTAGAATTCGCTTCAGGACGTCATCTCAGTTCTGAACCTAAGGATCAACGTAAAACCAAAAACATATAAGAAATTTTCTTAGGACTTGGTGCTTTCTCTTTCGTATTCACTTTCGAATCATCACTAAAAACAGGCTCTAAAAGTTTGTGAAAAACTCCACCAATAATTTCAAAAAAAAAAAAAAAAAAAAAACTCATATTTTGGAGATTTCAACTGGATCCCAATGTATTTTTTTTGCAATTTTTATTTTTTTCAAAGAGAATACATTAAAAAGAAACATGAAATATTCAAGTAATTGGTTTCTGCAAATCGCCGTTGATGACTAAATGACGATGATAATGATGAGTAGTAAAGCCAAAATACCCAAAATTACTCTGTAACTGCTGCTGGCTAGCTGGCTGCGGTATAACACATCAGAGTCAGTAAGAAAAAAAATCATGCCATCCAACATATAGAGAGGAGGAAACGTTCAACACCTGGCTTATATAAACGGAACATAATGAACTCTGCACCAAAAAACAAAGAAGAAAACATAAATGAAGAGTTTCTGTTCGTTTGTTTGATTGTCGAGGAAACACAAACAAAGAAAACGTCTTCCAAGAAAACAATTACCTTTCCATACAAAGTTAATCCATGGGTTTACACAAAACGAAGTTCGAAAAAATGAACGGAGAAGAATATGAAACTTTATACTCGGTAGAATTTTAACACTTTGTGTGCTGTTTTGAGGTATTTGGCCCACGAAGGTCGTTCAAAGACCTTTAGCAATTTTTTGTAGTCATACTTATTTCTCCACCAATTTTCAAGGTATACAAAATCGAATTCATTGTTCTCGTTCTCGCTCTCTCCCTCTGTGTTGTATATTCAATATGAAGTCATAAAGAATGGAAGATTTCTTAAAAGACTTGTTCAAACAAACATTAACATTATCTGGCTGCCTAGCTTGCTGTGGTTGGGCAAGCCATTAGCAGTACGTCAAGACAGAAACAGAATGAAAAGGTTATTGGCTCCTCCTGTCGTTGTTGTTGTTTTTTTTTTTTCTTCTAGAAGAAAAAAATTAATTTCGTTTACCTCTCCACCCCTGCACCTCACCTTCCTATTTTCCCGCTTTATGCGTTTCTCCTTGGGAAAATGGACAATGTACTCTCTAATTGCTTCGTCCAATTTTACATAAATTTGTTATTCACATTTACGGTTGAATATTAAATGAAAATTGATTTTTTGGTAACTTTTTCCATTGAAAGCTGTTTGGAATTTTTTCAAGCATGGAATATTGGATAAATTAAGTTTAAATAATAAAACACAGTTTTATTAAGGAAAAAACTTAATTTATTAGGGATACAACTTGATTTTTCTTTAGGAAAGTGTAAGGTTTTTTAAAGAAAAAAAAAAAATAGCTTAACTGAGTTAAGTTTATTTAAGTTAATTATAAAACTGAAAAATTTGTTCATAAATAAATAATAATAATAAGTAGCTAACTTATTTCCATGCTCTGGTCAAGAGAATAATGTTTTAAATGAACGGTTTTTGTTTGTTATTAGTCGCATGTATATATTATAATATATTTTTTTGATTATTCTAAATTTTACTAATTATTTTTTTCTTTTCTTTATAGGTAAGTTTACAAAAAACACATACATGCGATTTACATGGACGCATGGTAAGTTCCTTTCTGTATTTCACATATTTGGAGGTTTTGCTTTATCAGTGATTTAATAAATAATGAGGCTATGCTAGCAGTCTTCTGCGACATATGACAGAACACACTACACACTCTATATACCGCATTTTAAACGATTACCCCAAAAATCATCAGGCAGGAAAATGCTAACCTATATAGACAACTAGCAAGTATCGCTACTACTTCGTCTGCGAAAAGTCCATCTTAAAAATTTAGATTTGTTCCAACAGTTTGTGTTAGGCCTTTTTGGCATTCAAAATGCATAATTTATTCAGGTTGACAACATTTTTCAATCACAACTTCATACATAGTACTAAATTTTCGGACTTTCGCCTTTTACACCAAAAAAGTCTTCAAAATCTTTCATTTTTATGTTAGTAAAACCATTCCCACAATTTCTGTAAAAAAAATTTTAACGTCTCCATATGTAAACCCTAGAAACCAACAGTGACATCAATAAAAAAATGTAAGATCTATTCCTTCACCAAATACCAAAGGTAGCACCATATATTATTTTTCGTACAAATACAGAATTACGTACAAATAATTGAATTGAATTTAGAATTAGTTTAGATTTATTCGAATTGGTCACCTTTACACCTTTGCCCCATTCCTGGCGGGGCGCTTGCTTGAGATGATCGATACTTTGGTATTTTTTTAGTGCCAACCTTACTTACCAAAATACTCCAGACACAATAGTCCAACGGATTGGTATCCGGAGATATTGGTGGCCATTGTACGCTGGAAATAAAGCGAGTTACCTCATTTTGTAACCATTCTTGGGTGGCGCTCACTGAGTGCGATGGTGCAGAGTCCTGTTGGAATGTCCAAAGTATGCGGCCAAAATGATTGCGTGCCCAAGGCTTTATTGCACCCTCCAGAATATTTTCGCAACAATATTCGGCATTTATTCTGATGCCACGGTCGATAAATACGAGCGGAGAGCGACCTGTTATGGCGGCCTACACCATCACCATGCCCGACGCTTGAGTTCTGGTGGCCAACCGAAGCTGCACTTTTTCAGCTGACCTCGGCCAAGCCAAGCAACTCTTTAGCTCTTTTGAGTCTATTTTCTTTCTGTTGCGGCCATTGAATATCAATGGCTTTGCCCTGAAATTAATTTTCAATATTTGCCGAATGGAATGTTACGATATGTTTAGCTCACGAGCCATTTTTCGACTACTGCGACGTGGGTTTCGATCAAGTCGCTTCTTTTACTTTTCGAACCATTTCTGCTGATGTTGGCCAATTCCTTGACGTCGGGCTACGCTACCAGCATCACGGTAACGAGCGATTGTATGAGACACAAAAGATTTTTTCACATTTAAATGCTGGAGTGCTCTAACGATAGCCACTTGTGGTTTTCCATTATATTTTCACTAAATACCAAATTGTACCAAATATAGTACCATTTAGTACTTTCTGTGCACTTATGCTCAACATTTCCAGAACCACCTCACTTTTAACAACCTACCATCAAAAGGAACGTCAATATAAAAGTTCCAAATACCAGCTTCAACCATTAACCCTAAATCCAACTATTCCAAATTTAGTAAAATTTAGTCCAGTTCACACAGATCGCACACTTAGTAATCATTTTCTATAACTCCTTCATATATATCAAAATTACTTTCCACTCCTTTGATTTTCATACCAAATTTCAATTTTTAGAAGTTTAATACCGCTTTGGGACTTTTCGTAACCTTAGTTTCCAAAAACCCTGTTGATATACACTGGTGGCCAAAACTAAAGCAACTTAAATCGCAAAGACAATAAATGTCCTTTAACTTTTACAAAAATAAACAAATCGTAATTGTTTTTCCAGTTTTAAATGAGGGGTTTAATTCACTTTTAAGAAACTAAAAATAAAAATACAAAAATAATTTTGAACGAAAAATAATATGTGGAAAACTAGAATGACCTAATTTTTGCTTGGTCAAAACTAAAGCAACTTTTGATTTTTTATTTTAAAATAATTAAATTTTGGCTAGTAGTCGATAGCATAACCATTATTTTTGATAGCAGCTGCACACCTACGGGGCATTGAATCTATAACAAGCTCAATTTGATCCTTGGGTGTGCTTTCCCAGGCACCCTGAATTCTTTAGAAAATGTTGTGCTTATTTATTTCCGAATCTCGCTTGATCTTCCTATCTACGATACTCCAAAGGTTTTCTATGGAGTTTAGGTCAGGTGATTGTGCCGGCAATAACAAAACATCAATTTTTGACTCCCGCAACCAATATTTGACAAGTTTTGATACAAGTTTGGCATCATTGTCATGCTGAAACACCCAAATCAGCCGAATATTTTACTCAGCGTAAGGGAACAACGTGATGTCCAACACATCTTTGTAAACAAACCGATCCACAACTTCCTTTATTTTATGGATAGGCCCAAGTCCATAGAAAGAAAAACAGCGCCACGCCATTTTTGACCCTCCCTCATGCTTCACTGTACCTTTGCAACACTGCGGCTTGAGTCCTTCATTTTTTGGTCTTCTCACGGTAAAATTTTTCACGTCTGAGCCTTTAATATTAAACGTAGACTCATCATAGAAATAATATTTTTTCCATTGAGCTTGATTCCACTTAATATTATCGTTTCCGAAAGCCTTTTTAATTTTTTTCAGATATAAATGGTTTTTTGATGTCTTACGGGCAGGCAGACCAGCTGCCACTACTCGTCTACGCACTGATCTCGAGCTTATATCAAATGATTGCTCTCTCACCAATCCAGTTGAACTCTTAAATAGTTGTTTTTTATTTCTCACACAATTTGTGGATCAGTACGGGCTGAAGTTTTTCACGGCCTTCATCCGTTATAGACTGTTACTACTGATCCAGTTTCAAAAATCCGCCTTAGTATACAGAAATAATTATGAAATCACATACATATTTATGAAATATTTCTCGGAAATCATTTTCTGTGATATGTTGTTTTGATAGTCACTGATAATTTGCTGTTTTATTCAGGTACAGTATTTGCTTCTAGCCATTTTTAAATTTTTTTTTGAGCAGTACTTAAAAAACGAAAAGAAAAACACATACTGTTGTAAAAAACTTCTCAAAAAGGATTTATGACAAGCGAAATTATCGAAGGAATCAAAAAGCGATAAATATCACAGTAAAAACAACTGAAATTGCAGCGGTTATATGAATGTACAACAGAGTTGCTTTTGTTTTGTCCAAGCCAAAATCGGGTTAATTGACTTTACCAAACATTATTTTTTATATAAAAATTAATTTTGGTTTTATGTTTTAGGTTTTTAAAAAGTGAATAAAGTACCTAATTTAAAACTAGAAAAACTTTCTCATTTTTTTAATTTTTGAAAAAGTTACAGGGCATTCATTCTCCTTATAATTTCAGTTGCTTTAGTTTTGGCCACCAGTGTATATATCCTTCACGCCATCAGGGTCTCTCATTCAAATTTCAGAATTCCAGCTCATTTCGTATTGAATTTTTAGTACTTTTCGTAACCTTTTTGTAGAAATTTCCAAAAACCCAGCGTCATCTTTGTGCAAAATTTCAAGATACCAGCTTCAGCCGCTTCGTCTAGGCGTTGATTCTCAGTCAGTTATTTCACTAATCTTTTATGTATAGAAGATAAGCTGATACAAGACATATAAACTCTAAGTAATCGTCCAAATTTTATCCTATGAATTTTTTGCAACAACCCTCATATGACCTGCCTTTTTATTGAACTTCGAAATAGTTTTTTCCTCGTTCTCGACGACCTAGAAATTTACGATGATCAAGGATATATATTCTTTTGTAGTAGGGTCTATATGTTATCCTATGAACTTGTTGCAACAACCCTCACATGTCCTGCCTTTGTATTGAACTTTGAAATAGTTTTTTCCTTGTCCTTGTATACCGCACCTCGTCTTTGCCTCTGTAATACTAAATTACAAGGAATTACTAACAATCCTCAATATGGCATGGCCTATGAATATTCTGTTGTTGCCCCAACTAAAAATTTGTAATCAAAATGATTTCTTGGTAGTCATCGTAGTTGATGTTGCAGTAGTTGCTATTCGATATTGACGTAAAATATCCACGTTAAATACGCCCAAACAACAAAAAATTGGTTGGTTGTAACGTAACGCTTGTGTGTCTATGTGTGTGCGTGTGTGTCTGTGTGTGAGTGTAAAGGTCGCGTCATGGCTGTTTTATTAGTAAAATACTCGTGTTGTCCTCGAACTTTTTCCTCCACCCTGAAAAAAAAAACACACAAAATACTTAACTAGCAAAGCAACTAGCTAGCTGTGGCTGTCAGTGTCATTTTACGCCCAACAGATAGACATGAGTTCTTTCCTTTCCTTTCCTTTTTTTTGGTTTATTTATAAAAAAAGAATATTTGGCATTACAACCTTGACATAGACCGCCGACGACCATAGGATACAGCACAGATCTAACATGGGTTGCTCCTTCATCGATTATGGCATTGATACTTGGAAATATGTCCTTTTCGAAGGAAGGTGGCTGCTGGCTGCTGTACACATTTATTGCATCTTTTATCTTAACCCGACTATTCTCCGTTTATGATTTTAATCTTTTGACATTTGTTTCTTTTTGTGTTATATGACATTTAATTGTTGTTTTTTATACCCTCAGCCATATGGCTACAGAGGGTGTATATCATTTGATACGGTCAAAACGTGCCTAGTCGAAATAACGGTTTTAGACCCTAGGTCTCTTTGGACCAAATCCGTTTCAGGATATTTGGAGTCGATCTAACGATGTCCGTCCGCCCGTCTGTCTGTCTGGCTGGTTCGGAGATGGGCTATATCGGTCCACTACCAACCTCCCCCATAAAAGGTCGAAATTTTCAAAAAATATATTTGATCTAAATATAAAATATATTATATGATCCGATTTTGCTCCAACCTTGCAAATCCTAATATTTTTGTCGGTGCTAGGTCAAGTGCGAAAATGGACAATATTGGTCCACTCTATCAAGTAACTCCCCCACAAAGGGTTAACATTTTGAATAATAAATAAATGTGAAATAAGAGTCCGATTGTCTTCAAATTTCACACATCCCAATAATTTTATTAGCGTAATATCTGGTGTGAAGATGGAATACATCGCTTCACTCCTTCTGGTACCTCCCCCACAAAAGGTCGTTTTTTTTTTTCAAAAAAAAAAAAAAATATATATATATATTTTCTTCACAGAAAGAGAAAGGATGATCCGATTTGCCCCATCTTTGTAAATCCTAATATTTGTAACAGCGCAAGGCCAGGTGCAAAAATTGACAATATCGGATCACTCCATCAAGTACCAAAGGTCGAAATTTGCAAAAAATATATTTTCTGCACAGAAAGAGAAAGGATGATCCAATTTT